CTATTACTTTTGGTAGATTGTACTTTTTTTTTTTTTTGTTACGGCATGCATGTGTGTATGTGTGTATGTGTGTATGTGTTTAAGAGAGAGTCTTGGAGAGGGTGGGGATGTCTTTTTCTGATGTATCTTTTCTATCAAGGCGATCTCTCCTCGCGGTGGCGGAACACCGACAAAGAGAGAGAGAGGAAGGGGGGGGGAAATAATAATAATAATAATAGTAATAGTAATGAATGACAAAACTTGCAGAGACGCAGAGCTCGACGGTGCCACTGGGTCTGGCGACACAAAGGCGTCTTCCTGCGTGGGCGTTGGGTGGTGCTGGCGGCGGCTTCCCTGGGGGCCACGCCCCACCTCATGAGGCGGCGTTGGTGCGTTCCATCCAAATGCGGCAGCGGAACTTTGAAAACATCACCTGCAGCAGCGAGCGGAAGTCCACGCGCTCATCGGTCTCATACAAAAAGATGAGTTTCTGCCGGTCGAACTGAAAGGCGGCGTCCGAGACGTGGATCGCGAGGCCGAGGTCCTCGCAGGCTGCACTGCATTCTGCCACAGCCTCCGCCTCCTTCGCCACGAGGTTCCCCTTCCAGTCCTCCACCTCCTCCGGCGTCGCGCAGCGCACAACGTGCGCCGCGGGGCCATGGCCACCATCCTTTGCCCCGGTACCCCCAGCAGCAGCGTCTGCATCGGATGCTAGGGAGGATGACTCCTTCGTTGTATCCTCACAGTGAACAACCTGCCCCAAATCAACGCCACGGTCTGCCTCAAAAATGACATGGTCGCCGACGTGGAATTCCTTGCCCGAAAACGCCGTGTTTGTGTGATTACCATGGCATTGTAAGCGCAAGCTGTACTTTTTGTTATCCTTAGTGGGCAAAATTTCCTCCTGTAATGCAGGGGACGCAGGGCCTGCACGGTTAGTGGTTTTGTTGTTGGCGTTGATGTTTTGCCGCTGTAAGGGCGGTTGGGAATTGTTCTTGGATTTGCCACGACGTTTTTCTTTATTGCGCCGTTGAGTGGAAGAATCCATACGCTCGGCGTCAGGCCTCCGCTGCGGCTTAGTGTCAGGAGGCGCGCACCCCATACTTTGTGTTGTGTCCGTATCAGCCGTACAAAGCGACGTTTCGACCTCCTCTTGGTGGTTTGGTTTGGCCCCTGGGTGCCTCTTTTTATTGTGCTCCGCAAATGCAGACTCCAACTCAGTGGCAAGGGAACTGGATCCACCAAGCATAGTCACTGCATTTAAATTCCTTTGAATTCGCTGAGAAACAGTCCCCGCGTGGACGTTAGAGCGTGCCACAGTGGAAGGCGTGGTTTGAACCACACTGCGGACAGCCGTGGCGGGTGACAGTGTCATTCCCATTGCGGAAGAAGGAGTGTTCGTGCCAAATGCTACATGCACGGATTGCTTTTGTTGCATTGGCGTATTCATTGCGAGGCAAGCTTGTAGCGCCTGATTTTCCATTACCCTGGGCTCTTCCTTTGTCTCTCGCCCCTGTAATGGATGCATACACGCGTGCGTCTTTGCCTCCTCCCCCTCAGCGTCTTCCTCAGTGTCCTCCACGGGGTTGTTTCCACCCGCATCTGCAGTGTCACTGTTCAGCGAAAAAAACGGCGTTATTCCAGCTTTGTTCGTCGTCATATCCACAAACTGCAGAAGACGCGGCGTCTTACTTGGGGCGTACACGGGCACCGAGGCCGGCTGGTGCGGGCCCACTGGCCTGCCCTTCATGCGATCAGCGTAGCTTTGGGGATGGCGCTCTCCAGAGGCCAAAAAAAAATTCAGCGTCCCAGAGGTAGGGCCGCCAGACGGCCCCTGTTCGTTAAGCCCACCCTGGACCTGACGCATGTTCTGCGCTCTTTGAGTCCGCGGCTCCTGTTCGTTCGCTCACACCCCCCACTTTTCTTGACGGAATCAACCCCCCAGAAGGCGTTGGCTAAAATCCGCCACCCGCTTCTTCCCGGTTCGTTGCGTATCCCCTCCTCGTGCGGTTTCGGTGTGTTGTGCTCTCCACGTGCTGGTGGTGGTGGGGGAGGGGGCACTTGCGGCTTATATCTGCGTCGCGCGTGTGCTCTGCTCCCGGCACGGGAAGGATCCAAGAGCAACAAGAACAATTGGGGTAAAAGAATGGAAAAAGAAACGATAGAGGAGCAGCAAACGGGACACAAAACAAATTCAGTTGCGGTGAAAAGAGGGATGTGAGGGGCAGGGGAAGAGAAGGCACCTTTGCATCTGCCCCTCCCCTTATCATCAAGCTTACGACGGCACGGAGCGTGAAGAAGATGCGTTGCGTCCCAAGCGCCTGTGGTTGCAATAGCGAAGCACGCCCACGTGTGACTCACTGCAGGCACACCACCAAAAAAAACCGAGGCAAGAGACAAAGAAGAGGTATGAAAAGGATAGGAGAGCCACACCACATCCCCTTCTGTCTCTTACTTATATCCATTTCCCTTCTTCCCTCTGGAGGTGAACGCAGTGCCATCCTTTACCAACTGTCGTTTATCAGTGTGCCTTGCCTGGTACTAACTGTTGCTGTTTTATTGCATCTCCATGTCTCTTCACCTGGCTTCAACACAACATCTTTCTTTTTCTTTTCTTTTTGTTATCAGGCTTTTTTCCCCTTCGGCTATGAGGGGAAAGGGGTTCACACCCCTCTTTGCCTAGCCCTCAACACCCCCGGGCCATCCGCATTACGCCGTTACACGCGTAGAGAGAAAGCAGTGAAGCACAGAGAAAAGAAACGCAGGCGGTTATCCTCCCTCAATATTCATTCGTTCCGCTCTTCCTTGCGTGCTTTCTTACGCTGCGGTCCCCCTCTCTCTGCAAAGACGAGGGGTTCGGACAACACAGCAGCGATGCCATCTGAAAGGGGCGGGGGTCGCACCTCATCCGGCACAACCAGCGGCTCTGCTGGTGGAAGCCCACACAGCACCGTCACACGCCGCTCAGAGACAGCCACGGTGGCAGAGAAACGCGCCGTGATGTGGCGCTCGCCCTTGATCTTCAAGGCGGGCAGAGGATCAATGACGTTCTGCTTCCGCAACATCGCCACTGCCATTCGAGCCTTCAGAGGGTTATCCAAGTGTTTGAGGCTAAACGGGAAACATTGGTGCTTCTCGGTGATTTCTTGCAGTGAGGCATGCACGGAGCGGAGACGGGCGTCATTCTGAAATTCCACCTCCGTGCGGCGGTAGATGGTTGCAGTCCCTTCCACGGGTGCCACCTTGTACGAAGAATGGTCGGTGAAGGCTACATCAAGTGTCCATACTTGATTTGCGCCTATGTTGCAATCTGCAACGTCCTGGTGAGGATCCTCCAGCGTTACACGCCGTGTAATGATGCATTCCATGCCGTCTGGAACCCATCGTTTTGTACGGTTTGAAAGCACGCCTTCTAGTCCTTGTACCTCAAAGTGATTTCCCACACTGTGTATAAAGTCGGTGACGTCGGCGTTCAGCCTTCCTGGCTGCATGAGATGAATCATCCCGCGTAACGCTACACGCGCCGCCTCCACCGCGTTACTTGCCGCTTGAGTGAGTTGCCGCGTCTGCCCACGTGCAGCGATAGCTCCTCCCGACGACTCAGGCGAGGTTGCGGCTATGGCGTCGGATGGAACAAAAACCGTGCGTGCCGCAGTGACTGGGTAACCGTCGATGTGGCACCCCATATGAATCTTCACCACATCCCCGCCGCGGAGCGCGACGGCCTCCTCCTCTACCAACGGTGCATGATTGCAGAGGGTTTGATTCACGGAGACGTTGGTTGGATAGGATAGACCGCGGAGAATGCGGTTGCCGTCGGCGTCCTTTGCCTTGGAGAACATCGCTCGCACCCGCCGCAGCAGTTCTTCATCGCCGAGGTCACACAATTGTTTGGTGGTTGCCCCTGGCACGCACGCGGCCGCCAGAATGTCCATCACCTCGTCAAGGGCACGGCCGGCAGACTTGTACTTCGTCATAACGTCCGGCTTCACAATTGTCTCTGTCACCCGCTCTTCCGGCTCCAGCTCACCCTCGAGCTCCTTCTCCATGAAGGCGACCTTCTGACGGATCGTGGACGCAGAGCGCACCCTCGCCTTGTCGTCTCGCTGCTGCGTTGTTGCTCGATTTGCCGAAGTTTTCTGCTTCGCACCACTCGTAGGGGTTTGGGCGTCCGACTTTCGCACAGCAGAGAGGTTTCGAGACGCCGTGTTGGTTTTTGGCACTGACGCTTTCAGCTGCTGCAGCGAGAGTGACCGCTGACGCTTCATGCGCAGCGTCGGCCGCGCACTCTTGCTGCGGCTGTTGCTGTACCCACGTCCCATGTGACAGTTTCGGACACCACACACACTCGCACACAGGAACCAGCGGAAAGAGAAAGACGCCTAACCAACACAACCACTGAAGAAGAGAAATCTATTCCTTTTCATTGTCAAGAAAAAAAAGTCCAACAAAAAAGAAAGGAACGCGCAAGCAATGGGTAGAAAGGGAGGGAAAAGCATAGGCCTCTCAATCTTTGCGGGGAAGCAGACCCGTATATACACACAGCTGTGTGTGTACGCTGGCAAAAGGGGGTACCGGGAAACATTGTAGCAAAACACTGGAGTGGGGATAGAGGAGACCAGTGTGCCCTCCAAACGAGGAAAACTCTCTTT